AAAATATATAGAAGATCTTCAAGATCTCTATAATAAAATCTACAATGGTATATATAGCAAAGTGAAAGCATTCTGAAATAATATCTCACTCTTAAAAAAATATCACAATTTTTATTATAACATTCTCTACAATCTGTAAATAAACAGTATAATAGTTTTAATTTGTGAGAAATTGGAAAATCACAAAAATCTTTATCATATCTACAAAGTTACAGATCATAAATAATACAATAGGTACAGAATATCACTTAGACATTATAGAATCAAAAACATGGAACAAATAATCAGTATATACAAAACATGATTACTATTATAGTATTAGATTGAATATTTATATAATAAATCCATTAAAAGAAGAAAACTATCCTGATTCTGCAAGTTTATAACAACTGTAAACAACTTTTTTAAGGATCCAAACAACTTCAATAATCTTAACACTTATATTCAAATTAAATTTGTAACTACTAATACAAGCATATTAGTATAGTACACTATTATCTTCAATAGAAAACTTGTCATTAGAAAAAAAATCAATAATAATTCAATATATATAGTATTAAAATAAGACACTATCAATACTCTAATAATTCACTACTAATGATTTATATAAGATGTGAGGAGACAAATACTATTAATAATAGAAGTGACAAATACTTTTTAAAGTGTCTAATACAGATTTTATAAAAATATTGGTATCTGCCACTATTCATTTAGCCTTATTAAATAATAAAATAACAAAATTTTGAATTCAAATATCTCCTGGTATCATTGTTAAATAGTGGGTTTAATCCAATTAATCCTTAGAAGCAATAAAAATAAATCAACTTCTCAAACACATATATATGCTTACTGAATTCATTAGATTAATAAATAAAACAATTAAACAATTCAAAAAAATCAATAATAGCTTCTATCACTCAACAAGAATTAATATATTTTGCAATAAGGTATACAACCTTATATTAAATGCAAATTACATAAGTATAGAAATTATCCTTTAAGACAATAATAATAAAATTGTAGAAATCTTATTGCATATCACAACCAAAGGATCCAATGACTTTTTAGAACTATTAGTAATTACTATAGTTATAAATCTCACTAAGCATAACACTTCATATCAAATATTCTCTTATTCAACTATTACTATTAACAAGATTCAAAAAGCAACTAATTATAGTACTAAAAAGCATAGATACTTTAGGATTACTGATTATATTCTAAACACAATTAGACAAAGGTGGCTCAAATGCTTATAACACAAAGTAATAGTGAAGAACACTCTGACAAACTATAAATAGGCAGATTAACTTGTCAGAAAATATTTAAAGAATTATGATACAATGTATACTACTATATTAACAAATTATATTTATAACACAAATCTACTCATCTACAAAATTTACAACTCTGAGATTATATAGAATATCAGGAAAACTATCAATATTCTTCAACAAGTAAAACATATCCTAACTTAAAATATACTCAAATATAATTTAGATCTAATAACTAAACAAAAAAAATAAATAAATTGAAAAAACTCTATTAGTAATCTTAAATTATTCAAAATTTATTCTTTACTATACAATTCATAGAACTAGTAAATTTATATATTCTTACTCAAACTCTAGAATTGAGAACTTTTTATAATAACAATATTATATAAATGTTATCTTGATACATATATAACAAGCAAATGTTTTAGATGCTTAAAAACAGAAAATCAATATTATTCCTTCCTATATAAAAAATATAGAATAGATATCAAAAATCTTATCATCAATATGATTAATAGAAAAATTACAGCAAAAATAAAAAAGCCATCAATAACAAATATTAAAGCTAATATAATTAAAAACATGAATAAACATAATATTTGAGATACTATAATAAGAAGTAGAATTACTAGAGATATTACTCAAATAATCATCATACATCTGAATAGTAATAAACTTAAAAAAATAATTTGGAGCATAATTAAATATATTTGTTTCATTATATTTAACATATGGATGAACAAATGTCAACATCTATACAAGTGAAAATTAAATAATAGAATTAGATATATCATATCAAAACATAGGTAACAATACAAAGCTCAATAACAAAAAATATAGAAAGTAGAAATAGATATAAATCCAATTCTAATTGTTAATATTATTAATAGAAACCATATATTTTTTACATTTATACAATGGATACTAACAGAGTCTAGGTATGATCTCTTTTCACTAATTCCTTGACCATACACAAAAAAGATGTTCACAAGAAATTTTTTATTAATTTGCTAATAAAGTCTTAATACTATCCTTAAAACAATTTGAAGTTCCACTTAAAGAGACATTCCTAAACCCTTTCCCTTATTTATATTTGTTATCAAACAAAAACTTGGCTTCCTGTGATCTAGAAAAGTCAAGAAACACCTTCTCTATCAATAGCAAGAAAGTTTTGCAAGGAAGAAAAACCAATGTATATTACTTGAAACCTTTCATATTGAAGTATATCTATAGAGATTTCTAGTAGTGGGAGGCAGCGAACATCAAGCCATATTTCAAGGTGTCTGCCCATTGTATCTTCCCTCTTATAGTCATTCAAAAATTTTGCTTTCTGGGAAATTTTGCCTACTTCAGTTTGACTCTGAATTTTAGGTGACACAACCCATTGCAAAATATGATTTGTAGATATAAAACATGTTAGTAGCTGAATGTAAACAAGTTTCTACTGGTTACTTCACATATTTCAATGACGTCATTGATGAAAGAAAGAGAATCTATTGGTACGCATCCTCCATTTCTCCAAATGAAGTGTAACCGAAGCAAAGAAATCATGAGACCATTAGGACGGGCATCAAATTCCCTAGGTGGTAAAAAGGCAGTTATTTGTTCAAGTTGAGGTCTTCAACTTCCTATCATTCCGGTCAGGCAAAGTACGTGAAGAAGGTTATTTACTTATCTTGGTCAGGCAATAAGACCGAAAAACAGAAGACTGTGAGCCACTACCCTTCTCTAGGATTGAAAATGCATTTCTCTAGACATTGTGTAATGATATCATAATCGACAAGGATCTCCATACTCTATGCGACCCTCTCACCATTGCAAGGCAAAAAGACTGTTGGGAAATCTGACTTTTTGGGCAATGGAAGATGCTCACCAGTAAAATTCCTTTAACTAGGTGTGGCTGCTAGAAGATATTGGTAGTTATACAATATGACTGAAAGGCTACATAAGAATCTGGAGTCCACTATAAGTCATTAAAGTCTGTGCGGGTGGATAAAAAATCAATACCAAAAGAAAGGAAGTGACAAGCAAGGCGCTAGATTCGAATAGGTGATAAGTACCTCAAACAGTTGCAAGAAAACAATCAAGATTATGAATGGATAAGTTTCTCGGATAGTCAGGAAGAAGAAGAATATTCCAGAAGAGTTGACTCCTAATGAGAGGAGGTTTCTAGTAGAGATCCTTTGAAGGATATGAAGTATTTTATTTCCTTTTTTCTTTTTCTCTTCATGTATGCACATTTGTGCATTTTTAGATATCCCTTTTTTTTTATTTTCCCTTTTCTCTTTTGTAGTTTCTCGAAATCAGTTCCTTGGAGAATAATTGGTAGTAACAACTCACTAGCAATGATGAATAAGTTAGGAAGGTCTTTACCCAAAACTTATTCTGGAACAAAATATTGTTCCCGAGGTTGCATTTAGAGGCTTAAAATCATTTGAGAATTGAAAGCTGTTGACAAGTAAGTCAGCATAAGATTTAGTTTAGCCATAATATAATTGCCCAATATATCTCTATTGGTTTTCTTAAAGATTAATAAACACACTATGCTGGCCTGACTGCAGGTTTATAAAAAAAAAAAAAACTAACAGAATCTAGGCATATTAGTTTTTCCAAAAGAGACAACAAGTCATAAGGGATTTTCAAACAGTTTGACTTTTTTTAGAAAATAAATGGGAAACATACATAAAGAAAATAAATCACAAAATCACTTGTAATTTGAAATAATATATACTCTTTTATACCTAATAAAGTGAACCTATTATGATGCAAAAAAAAAAAAAAAAAATTAATAAATAAAAAAAAAAAAAATAAAAAGTTGAAGATTTTGACTTAAATAAATAATTATTTTTTTATTACCTAGGAAATTTAGTATCTATTCTAATAATGATCTTATAGTTTTTTTATTTTGATTATACTATACTTCATTTAGAGAATTCAGAATCAAACAGTATATAAAAAGATAAATAATAAATCTTCTACTATTATAAAAATCTCTATCTCTATATTACTTCCAACTCTGAAAGATAACACTTTACAAGTTGATTCTTTTATTTTCTAGAACTTTTTTACCTTTAGTAGAGGAAATATATACTTGAGTTTGTTTAAGCCACTAGAGATTCAAGTTTTTGTTTAAAGGAGTTTGTAAATAAGTAAGAAGGAGTAATAGCACTTTTGAAGATAAGTTTCAAGTTATTTTAAGAAAAGCATAAAGACTTTATTTATTAGTCAAGAAGTATAAAAATTTCTTGTGAATGTTTTTTTTGTGTGCTGTTGGAAAATCAGTGGAAAGAATTTTTATCAACAAATATTTTAAACATTTTTTTTAAAAAAAAAAAGTTGATTGATACTATAGCTCAAACTTTATACTATTAGATTACTTGAATCTTAATACAAATCAAAATAATTTGTTAACAACTTTTTTGTTAGTACTTTGTAAAGTACATGTGATGTTTAAAGATAAAGTAACCTGGAATAATTGCTTGGATAATAATCTCTAAGGCTAATCTCGTTGAATGAATGTTTTCCGTGAATGCATTATGAGAAAATGGTCAAATACTATGGTAATTGATCATCTGTCCTATATTCGTCAATTCCTGCAACTTGTATGTTCAACCGATCATCTCCAAACTCGAAACACACCGCTTCTGACAGTAGATTAAACATCATTGTCAACTTTTGAGAGTTCGCGGCAATAATCGAATATTTATCATTGTTGAGCGATTCTTAGAGATTTCCAGATCTAAGATCGTTGGCTGTATGAACGTTACCACTAATTTGTTCATTTGGTCGTTGTTGCAATCGACGTTGTTGTCTCCTAAAAGTTGAAATCCTTGAAAATTCGCAATCTGAATCTTCGATGATCCGGTTAAAGGAGGGTCGATCACATGACGTGAAATTTAAACCGGGAGCTGTGTCGTCAAATGGAAAAAATGTAGGCTATTGTAAAATTCAAATTTAGTTTGGCATGATTCTATGACGCGTTTTGAATCTTTTCTAGAAAGATTCATTGTTTCCAAAACCATGCGTGATAGTTTGATGAACCACCTCGTCACCATCGTTTTTTGGGTTCCTTCTCCCGCGGCAATTCTTGTGCTTGTCCGCCTAATATTACCAGAATCCTTCTTTCAGTCCTCCATTTACCAAACAAAAACGCGGTGAAAATGACACTTGATGCTTGGCCTGTTTCGATGAATTCTTTTCTCTCTATAATTCATATCATTTTATCCTTTGCGGTTGGGTTATTCATCGTTGAACCGAAAGAATACGGATTTAAATTAAAACACACGGAGCACACGGATAAGCAATGATCTATGTGGAATATTTAAATTCCCTTTTTAAAAGAAGAATAAATCCGATGTCATCGATTCCAATAATATCATATGCAAAGCACTCATTCTTTCTGATTCTGAGGAGATATTCAAAAGGCGTGGTGAATAAGAGAGCAAGATAAAAAGTATCCCGTGGACAAGCGCGTGAAAATATATTTGAAATACATATACTGTACCTAAATCAACTCTGATTATATTATCGGTATGTAATTTACCGTCGCGAATTGTTGTCAAGAGGCATACGTCACCTTTCCCGGATTGCCACGAAAAAGTCACACAACAGACGAATATACGACGGGTTTGTGTTGAGTGAGTGAGAGAAACGGGCATATTCGGTCACCTGTTGATATACACCTCGCGATCCAAAGTACCCCGTGACGCGATTACGTTATATGAGGAAAATTTAACTTCACACCGTGCTCCCATATATATATATATCATTTAAGGGCATTACAATTTGAATATGTGGCACCTGGGTACTTTACACCGCGAAACACGGTAACCAAACACCACATCCATTTTACCAAGATTTCAGAATGAACGACAACAGAGAATTGTGTAAGTGATTCCAATGAGTTTGAGCCACGTTCTTGCACCGTAACGTCATCATGCGGTCATTATATAATTTTTTTTTTTTAATCGGACCTTTGGGCCATTCCCGAATAAATAGTGGAAATTGAAATGTTTTATAATTGTCATTATATCATCAACCGTTATCGTCTTGCAGACAAATTTGTTTGCAAAAACCCTTGTAACACGTGAGTTTTGACGATCCGAGGAATAAAAATAGATTTATTGCATGACGTATGTGTACCACACACTCGATACGATTGGCTGACCATCGACTCAACAGAAGACGGATCATTAACGTGCAGTATGTAGTCCTTCGCTATGCTCCGGATTAATATATCAGTATTCAGATACTAAATAAGTTGTTAATATATATGTACGGTGGATAAAATAAATAAAGCAATTGATGTTATGCTCACTGTATACAATAACTTTTTGTTATCACAAAATCATGAAGATTTCACGATATCGACAGATAAAAAATCATAATGACGAAATCCTTGGGTCATACACAAACAATCCAAACACGCACGATAAGCTTCCTTGTACCACAGGACACAAGGCTTCAGAAGAGGTCGGATCAGTTTAAACAAGAAAGTTTCAGGATTCTGCGAAACACGAGGGAATACTTGATATCCGGTTGGGCAGTTTCACTTATACTTGGCTCCCCGTGAAAAGATTTTATCCTTCAAAAATCAAAATTCGAAGGCGAAATGTGCTTAGAATTCTTTTATCATTATTAATCGCATAGTACAACGGCAGACAAAAAATCATCGTCCTCTCGTTCCACCTACTTTATTTGGAAGCATATCATGGCACGAACGTATCAGAAGAATCAACTTGGGGCAAAATCTTGGCACTTTTTTTTTGATTTCGCGGCGATGTAAATTGTCTTGCTCAATTTTTATTTTTTATTTTTAATTTTATTTTTTTGCCATTCTATGAATGAATAATGTCAAGAACCTTCGCCGGAAACAATTATCATGGAATTTTCGCCGTCTAACGTGGCCCATTGATTGAGAGCCAAGTGTTCTCCGTGGAAGTGCATGCGTGAGCGTGCGTCCAACTCTCACACGTGCTCATTACGCCACAAGCAATGGATGACTCTTTATGTGTTATATAATTTGTAAAGTTTGTATTGCCCTTTTTTAATTCGTGCGGGAATCTGCCATTATAATACGATACCACAATAAGCCTTATGGTTTGTTTTTTTTTTTTTTTTTAAATCGTTATATATAAAATTCCGAATATACGAATTTTCAAGTTAAGTAAAAACCTTAAATAATGTAAATAAACATGATTCCCCAGATGGAATGAATGAAAGTCGTCGGGAATCACATAATTACGGTAAGTGTTTGCTTAATTTTCACAGCATGTCTGTGTGCAAATAAAAATAATTATATAATAATTTTTTGAATCTAGAATGCGTGTTATAAACGACGTGCACATTTGAGCCGAAGGATATCTGAGGAAACGACATTTACCATTATTATTTCCGATTTTTATTTTATTTTTAAATATTTTTAATTAATTAATTAATTAATTATTATCTTTCATCGTTATTATTACTACGTCATTAACGTCATTACTTATTAGTTCCCGAGGCGAGAAAAATAAAGTAAAGTTTAACTAACTAGATTGGTCAAGAAATTGTATATCGCGCGACTCAACAAACACATATCATTCCTCCTTTGGAACTCCTGAAAACTTTGTTGTCTATCTGCATGAATATATGAGGCCCACCTTCATTTCTAATAAACTCTTGGGTCCACAAAGGGACTGGCTAATAAGATTAGATGTTCACTTGGAATGAGTGGTAAATAATAAATAAAACAACGAAATGTCGAATAAGAGGAATTTTATATAAGCAAAAAATAAAAAAAATTTTTTTTCCGTCATGCACCTGTGGATAGAGATTTGTGCCATAATCAGGTGTCGCAAAAACACGAATTAGGCGCGAGAGACGTGGGAAAATGACCACTCCTTTTATCGAAAAGTGATGACGAAAAAAAAAAAAAAATCATTTAATGTGTTATTTTTTTTAAAAAAAAATCAAAGACGCCTTTGTGACGGTTACACGACGACAAGAATCAAGGTACTGGTTTCATAGATTATGGGGGTTTTTTTTTTTTTTTTTTACACTGTAATTTCCGAGCGGTGATTGGAATCGCACATAAAATAGTTGCCTATTCTCGTTTATGGGTCATTACATTAAATAAACAAAGTTCCCCGCAAATGCATTCGTAATTGACATGTATACCGCCCAATTAAAATCAAGGGAGCTTGCATTATCGAATCTGTGACACCTCTGTACACATCATGAGATAGATAGAAATTTGCCTGAGTTAGTACACCGAGGACATTCGGGAATGGTCGTGACACGTATCACACACGCGCAACATGACGCGCCTTTGTAAGATGCATTGTTCAACAAAAACTTGGTTTTCTTAAAAAAAAAAAAAAAACTCTGCTTCCTTACCGGAACCGAAGGTTACTGGAAGATGACGTAGATAAATTTAATTTTTTTGGTGAACTCTTAATTTCCATATTTTTTCATCAAGGTTAATCTTTTTTTAAAAAAAAAAAAAAAAAAATTTTTTTTTTTTTTATTTTAAGAATGTCTATTGGAGTATTTGGCGTTCATTCATCCCCGTCTCGTTTTACCCTTTATGTAGAAGGCGAGGCATAAGGTTCAAAAGAAGTTGAGAGAATTTTACACCACTTGCCTTTTATATGCAATGTCTGATCGATTTCTCTTTTATCGAACATAGTAGATTCGGACAAATGTAACCGAATTTGTTGGTCAAACTTTAACGAATATCGTGGGATCTTGTCATATACCCACATACATGGGGGCGGAGTTGGGCATTGTTACAATAAGTTTCACGGGCGGTAAACAAACATTTTTTCGAGAGTCATGCTGTGTCAAATCGTAATCACCTAAGAATAATTTGCCCTCCCCCGTTGTATAATTCATGTTCTGGAAATACTCGGGAATCCTTTCGGTATCACGGCTAGGTTATCCGATTTTGGACAAGAAATTTGCTGTCATCACCGATTTTCCATTAATCTACTGATTAATTGATTCCTGCTGAGCATTGAAAGAATGCACGAATCAACAATCTGTCGCTCTCTGGGACTTCGAATATCATCACCCGGAAAGATAAAAATATGTATGAAAACCGAAAACCCTGTTTCACCAACTTATCCAAAAGTATGGCGTTCTTGTCTAACCAACTTAATATTGCCATACCGAATAGCATTAATAACATAAGGGTTTTTCTTCATGCACTCTAATAAACGTAAGGGTTTTGTCCCATGCATTTTTGGGAAGGACCAAAGATCTTTAGAAAAGGGAAGTCATCAAATTTTTTATAACGGTGACACGAACTGAATTTCGTAAGCAGCACAGAAATCTTATTGAAGATAGTATAAACTGGATGCCTATTGGTTTAATCTTGCTTATTTTGTTTACTTTGTTCACCTTTTACAGGCATCAATACATGAAATTTTAAAGTAAGATGACGACCCAGCATATGGCATTATTTAATATTTAAAGACGTTGGCATTTGAACTTCCGTTTGACCCTATCAGAGTGATTGCCTTTTCTGATCATCCGCAAGTTTCCTCGCAATCAGGTTCTCTATAGACGCTCGTGTGAAATTCTCCGTCCGTCGCCATCAAGTCCTTTCGACGGCACCCTCTTTCGATCGTCGATACCAAGAAATCCAAACCTGCCTCCATTCTAATGAGCTTCTAAGTATCATGCGGATTATCTCCTGCGAGGAAAGGATCTGACGTCAATCCTTAAAATTTTCATTTCCCTCTTAAAAAAAAAAAATTACACGCTTGAAAGTGATCACGGACGTGTCGATACTCCTTGAAAGTATATATATATTAAACTTTGAAATTCTTTTTTCTTTTTCTTTTTTCCTCTTCTTGTAAATACATACATATATATATAAACGCGTAACTGGACATTTTCAAATTCGCGCCTAATGAGTGATCATTCGTGAAAATCGTGCTGAAGAAAAAAATCTTTCTTTTTTTTTTTTTAAAAAAAAAAAAAAAAAAACTGACCATCCATTATTTTGCTGCTGGTGGTGAAGTCGGTAAAAAAAAAAAAAAAAAAAAAAGGAAATTTTTGTCTAGCAAAGTCCTCGAGATCGATCTACAATTTATTTATTTATTTATTCTTTTTATAACTGTCGTTTTTCCCTGGAACCGAAAGAGTGTAATTTAACGTTCGTTTTTTGTTTATTATTTTTTCTCTTCGCATTAAATACTTTCCCCCTTAATGGACATGTTTCACCAATTTCGTTCTAAAACATTCGAGCCCATGATGATATTAACAAATCGTCTTGATAAAATCGTTTTTTTTTTTTTCTTTTTCTTTTTTCCTTCTTTACCACATCACGTGGTGCACGAAAAGAAAGATACCGGGAAACCGAAGAAATTGTGTTTGTGATGATGATTTCTCAATCACTCATCGGTACGAATTTATGACTATGTAGGAAAAAAAAAATCAAAGATTTTTTCCTTTCTTTTTATTTATTTATTATTTTTCTCTCTCCTTTTTTTTTTTTTTTTTTTGCCATTTATATTGAGGCTAGTCTCTTGTATGAACAAAAATTATAAGCACTCGAATTTAAGAACCATTATGAAATCAAGGTAGATTTTCTTTTAAAAAGAAAACCGACAACCGGTTGTCGTTTTTATTTTTTCATCCCGTTTGGCAAAAAAAAAAAAAAAAAAGGATCAATGCCTCGAGTTTCACTCCATCTTATTTTTATTTATTTCATTTCATTAAAACTTTTTTTTTTTTTTCTTATACAATTAGAAATCTCAACACAAACAAAAAATTCGTTAGTCTTAGTTTTCTATATAATAATAAAATAATGCATTAATTTAGATTGTGTTATTATTTAAACGGATAAAATGTATTGTACCGTGCGTGCGTAGTTTGTTCATTGTCTTAAAGATCTGTGCAAACGTGTCGTGGTGTATTTCCTTTATTGGAGTGATCGTCGAGACGGCTTAACGGTAAATGGTTTAATTGGGACTGAAAGTTCTCAATGGGCATTTGCGCGTCCGGTTCGAGTGCCCTTTTACCCTACATTGCATTTGAAATTCTAGGCAAACAAAACAGAATGACGAAAAGCCAGAATTCAACGGAATTCTATTTGGGCCATATTTATTTGTTATTTGTGAAACTGCTCACGGTATGTTAGTTGGATGTGAAAAAAAAATTAGAATAATAATATCCTAATCCAATAATTGACTAACGATAATACCAATAATGATAATGATAATGATAATAATCGATAGTAACATAATTTCACTTGCTTATTTATTTATTTACTTTATTTATTTATAATTATTATATAACTTATTATTTCCATCGTATTGACATCTCATGCAACATGTAATATCCCGATGCCGACATCGTGAATATCCCGTGACAGCCTCGAGCATAAGTCAAATTGGAATACTGGTTGGGGTACCGCTGACGTAAATGGTAGCAAGGGAAAAGGGTTCGTTGATTCTGCTGGTATTCTCGAGATTGTGAGCTGCTGCTTATTTCATCACTTAGGAGGAAGGTGAAAAGGGGGGAAGTGAAAAGGAGGTGAAAAAGGATTCGCTTTGGAGCATGGGAACAAAGTTTGTCGTCGAATAAGAATCCATCGAACCCACTCGTTTTCTGTAACGAGGGGTGGTTCAAGTGGGAATACCAAATTTTGCTTTAATGAGTTTTCCTGATGTCATTGACCAGGTAACAATGGTGCACTGCGACCAATCATCATGTTGGCGTCCCTTAATAATGCGCAAGAATTTTTTTTTGTACGTAATTCGTGCGGTTTGGAAAGTTTGTTTTATGTACCAATGACCTCATAGTTTGAGAAGTATGATAAGACACTGCATATACCATGACGGAGTTTTAAAGAACGATTCGTTCACGTCGTTTCGTCCGGTAAGAAATTGTTTCACGCTGATGGGAATGAAAAATTCATGACGTGAGAATTTCATCAACAAGTCAAGTTCTCGGATGAATCAATGAATCTCAATGTATAGAATTAATAGACTCGTGTGCAAACGGGAAAAATACGCACTCACAAAAAAAAAAACATATATGAATCCCCCCCGTTTTCTCTCCCTCGGCGAAAAACACCCTTCTTCCAACACTACTACTTCCAGCGGATAACAGTCTTGAACAATTTTCATTTTTAATTTCGTTTAAAAAAGAAGAAAAGGTTTTCACCGCCGATCGATTAAAATGCCTGTCGAAAAAGACAATCTTAAAGTCGGCTGTCGAGTTCTCTACCACCCAGTCGGTGGCACCGAGACAACTACCGAAGGAATTGTCAAGGAAATTATTGTTGAGCCTGAGGCAAGTTATTGATATTCGGTATCCGATTTTTTCGTCTCTATATTTAACTCATCATAATTTTATAGTTCGCCGGCGACAGACAAGTCGAAGTCAAAGCCTCCGAGAAGCATCCCAGGATTCTAATTGAAAACTGTAACACCCACAAGGTACCCACGTCTACCTTTATCTGACATCTTTTCTCAAACGTCATATTTATGTTAAGCAATCTTTCTTGCGTTCACCACAGGAAACCGGTAGATCTGTCAAAATTATTATGGAGTATGCTCTTCTAGTAATTAATATTCTAACAACCTTTTTCCCAACCGCAGCCTACAAACTTGAAAACATCGAAAGAGTTATCGAAGCCTAAAGCGAAGTTCAAACTTTTAGGCAAACGGATTCCATCTCATCTATATATCACTATCATTCCTTGTCGATTGAATATTTGTTCTGATAAATAAAGATGTTATATTGTCGTTGATTTACACTGAAGTACAAAATTATTTTTTATAATAAAAAATATTGCGCGTTATTACGTTTGCAAAGAATCTTTTAACATTGTAATTCGCATTCTGAAAGTATTGTACGCAACTTCTGCAACAAATTTATCATACGTATACAATAATATATTTGCAAATCTTGAAAAAGCTTTCCAAAATTTGGAAATAAACCAAAGATTACTTTTTAAATCTGTATTCAAAAATCATAAGATGCTCTAGCCAGTTTTAGTGCTACACTCATCTCATTTCAAGACAGGTTCCCTTAAAGTTCCGGTGGATAGGTTGAAAATCCACAAATGCTATATAACAGGAATTAATGAAGTGTCCTAGGTATGTTAGTTAGAAGGAAGACATTATTGAAAAGGTTTCCATTTAAGATTTCACATGGTTACTCCATAGGTAGGCTGTAATAGGTCATATAAAAAGAGTGGTTTGATAGGACAAGATTTCATCCAAGATTCCACTATGACATATTATAATAGGTACTGTAAAAAAAATATTTGATAGGATGAGATAAAATTAATGAGGCTTGAGTCCTGAGAGCCAAGAGTTTTGAGTGTAGTAAAGGGATAGTGGGGTTTTCTTTGATAACAAGTCATGGGAACGGTTGAAATACACTGGTAAACAGGTTTATTGTAACACTATTATGAATTGAAAGTTGCAAAGTGTGATTTGAAGGGATCTACAATAGTTTTAGATTTTAATAATCACATATAATATAAAAATATAACTTTACTATAAACTTCAATAAACTACATATGTCTTTGTAATTTTTTAAAGAAAAAATTTTTTTTATTTTTATTATTTTTTTTTTTTTAATCTGCAGTTAGATCAATATGGCTTGTCTATTTTATTGCAAACATATTTGATATTTACATATTTTTTGACTTTCATATATTGACTTATCCATCTACAAAGTTTAACCTTCTCTAGATGCAACTTAGAGGATAATATTTCATTTCCTTTGTAGCTTGAATTATCCTCTAATCACTCAGATCATTACCTATAACTTATCACTATAGATCTCCCAAAGTTCTAACTATGATTAAAAATCAAATCATTTAAAACCTTTGGATATCCAAATACTTATTATATCTCTTATAACCTTAAAACTTTATTCTTTCTGTATCTTCTCTTCTTCTGTTATATTTTTGGAGAGAAGAATAGAGTAGTAATTGACTTCCTTAAGGACTTAATCTATTTTTCTAGTCATCTCAGTTGATACTTTAAGTCTTTTGAGTTTGCTGATAATTCCTTGATTTTGTTTCCATTCAATAATAATACTATAACACTTGTTCCAAACTTTTTTCTTGAAGGTCTTTCACATTTTTTTACAAAATTTACCAATAGCCTCTTATATTGTTGTCACTGGGATTTTGAGAATTTTAAGATGCTTTCCCAGAATCTTGATCTTGACTCTATATATAAAGCCACAAGTTGTATTATATAAGCTTTTATCCTGTTATTTAATGTCCTGAATTCATTTCTCTATTACGTTTTTAACTTTTACCTGACTCTTATCAAAAAGATCTTTTGTTTTTCTAATATACTAAAGAATTTACTTTAAGATTTGTCTTATATAATTAATCTTTTGCTTTGGGTTTTGAAATATTCAAAAAGATTTTTCAGGATTTCCTCTTATAATTTGCATATTGAATATATTATGTTTGAATATAAGTCTTTTTTTGTATCACTTAGAGATTAGGAAGATTATTATGGATTAGGTTAATCAGAAAACTCTTGTCCTTGTTGGTACTAAAGGAGATGTAAAAGATATTGTATGGATTGAATTGTCTCCAGAAAATTTGCCAGTCAATTTCTTTACTAGAGTATATCTATTGGTCTTGAATATATTTTTGCTTAGTTCAAGCTAGTCCTATTTTCTTAGTGTTCTATTTTTTAAGAAAATCTCTAATACTGATATCAATAATATGTTCCTTTCAGGCTACTATTGTGAAAACTTGATCCAGATCAGATGTTTATTGTTAAATCAAGGGATTTTCTCTTCTGACCTGCTTTGCTAACCTGTTTGCTATATTGTTGAACTTATTGTTTTGATGGATCTTGATTTTTTTAAGTATGAGGCAAAGGTTTTTTTTTTGTACTAGGTTTTTGATTTGATTCCATAGTGGTCAGTTAGTTATTTTAATTCATTTTCTTATAGAAATAAACTTTTGTAACTAGATTGTTTTTCATATCTTGATAGCAGTACTACAATCTATATACAGTATATAGTTGCTTTTCCATTTTCAAGTATTGTAAAGATTACAATAAGTATGACTAGAATTTCTGCTTTTGTAGTTGATAATCATGATATTGTCCTTATTGAGAATTGATTAATTATTATATTGTTCTCAATTTGAATTTATCAAAGATCCATTTCAAGTTCATCCTCACTTTTTGTATATTGCTTGTAAGATCTGTCAGTAAAGAATATAAATTGCTTTGTATTGTTTTTATAGTTGTGTCTAAAACTCTTTATTAGGTCTATTATATGTTTCTATAATTGTATGGCTTGTTTAATCAGTTCCACTTACCAATTCTTTATTTTTATCTCAATCTCTTTTGATTCCAATGAATATATAGTACTTGATTCATTTGTTGATACTATGGGCTGCTAGTCTGTGATATTTCCTGAAAGTGTAAATAGATTTTTTTTTAAAAAACTTTCTTGTTTATTTAGTTGTGATAATAATCAGGTTTAGGATATATGTGAAATTATTGATTGTTTGAATATATGAGGATGACAAGTAGTACTATTTGTAGTAAGATTGTAAGTGAGCTAGTATGATGTGAAAAGTACTTCTTTGTTTTATATTTTGACTTTCCCTATAGTAGTTCCTGTTATTTTAATCAAAACTTTCCAATTAATTTTCTGTTTATTTAGTTTAGAAGCCATTTTTACCATTTAGAGTTTGTATTCAATCCATTTTAGAGTTTGGTATGACTATTTCAGCAAGTCTTGTTGTTCTGTCACCTTTGCTCTGATTTGTATATATCAGCTTGGAATTGGACCTTTGCAATTATCGGTAAAAATTTAAACTGCTCTTTATTCTCTTATTGTTAGTGTAGTTGTATTAATTAGTTAATTCAAAAACATTATTTGTTTCTTTTTAAAGAAGGGATGGCTTTTATGTATTCTTTCTCATCATTTATAATTGTCTTAATAGGCATGATATCTTTTTGAGTATCAAAGATCTTTTTCCATCTCCAGTTGTTATATGTAATCTGTAACTTCTTTGCCATAGCCAAAGTTGCAGTAGCAAGGTTACCTTTTTTAATTGTCTTGACTTCTACTGGATTATCAAGTATGTTTTTGAGCTCTCAATATTTGAGTTGACTTTGCTTAAGTCAAATAACTATTGCAATTCCTGAAGCATCACTGTTATTTAGTTGACCAAACAGTATTGTTATATTACTTTCGAGTTGGATTTTCCATATACTTTTGAGCCCATAGATTTGTTTGTTATGTATACAACTATTTAGAATTGTTCTATAAATTAGGGCTTTATTTTTGAAAGCTTGTTTATGGCTGTTAGATTATTGCAAACTTTCTTATTCAGATGTGTGTGCTGCATTTTGTATTCTATACAAGGAATTAGAACTCTATTGATAATATACCTGATATGTTTTTCAATTAGACTTTTGTTACTAATTGTTTAAATTACTGTTGTGATCTCTATCTTGAGTAGATTAATAGTATTTCAATTGTTGTGTCTTCTTTCTAACCCGATATTCAGGAATCTTGCTTAATTATATTTATTTAGTTTCTTGACTATTAATTTGTCTGTCCCTGTATAAATTGTGTCTGGATCTGTACTGTTTCAGTTAAAGATCAGAAAGAAAGATTTTTCACTATTGATTTGTGAATCATTTGTCTGATAAAATTATCTGGCATCTTTCAAAATACATTCCATATCTGCTTTAGATTTGACAATCCAAGTAGTATTATCTATATATGCTATTACTACTTGTCTTAGAGAAAGTTTTTCTTTAAGGTGTGGCTTTTGAAAGTCTGATATCTATTTTTCTTCCATTATATATCCATAGTTTGAATTTTCTTAAATTTTGCATAATAATAGATCATAAAAAAATTTTCCAGAGTAGAGATGAGATTGTTTTCCCTTGATTTATTCCATTATCAGCTGTAACTGTATCTGAAAGTTCTATTGAAAGAATTGTTCTGTATTTTCTATTTTCAAAAAGGTTTATAATCAATTGTTGACTAGTAGCTGGATACAGATTCTGTTTATAGCTCTTTCTAATATCTTGAAGCTAATCATATTATATGCTTTAGCTATATTCTGAAAAAGAATCCATATTTCCTTTTTTTTTCTCTGACTTTTTTGCAAATACTGTTTAGAAGTTGGATCGGTTCAGTTATACTTTCTCCTTGTAAGTCAATGAAATTGAATCCTCATAGGATTTTATGCTGTTTATATATACTAGCAAGTTTATTAATCAGTATTTTAATAAAACATTTTCTTGTTATTTCTAGCATTATTTCTAGCAATATTATAGGTCTTGTGTTGCTTAAACTATAGTTCCATGGTTTTGGCTTGGGTATCAAATAAATGTTACTTTCTTTCTATTTCCTTAATATATAGTCTACCTTAATTATCTGATTGTATAGTTACTTGAGAGCCTTTTTCCTTGAGGGCCTATATTTTTAAATATTACATAATTGATATGGGATGAACCAGATGCATTCTTTTTAAAAAGGTTTCTTAGTATTGTCTCAATTTTTTCCATAGTAATTTCTTCTTATAAAATAGAATACTATACTGGATTTATCCAATCTTTTGGTTGATATTCTCTTTTCTATTCAGGACTAAGGCTCTTATAGTTAGTGTTTTGTTGCTTGAAAGCT